GAGTAATGTGTGAAACTCCTTCGCAAAAATGTGGGTATTCAGTGGGAAAATTGAGCAACTCAGAATCTATTTTGAATCTGTTTCGAAAATCACTTTATTATACTTCCATGCAAGTTGCTGCCCCTGCCAGTGAATTTCTCTCTTCCTGCCGGCCTTGTTTTGATCGGTTTGAAGTCCAGCCTCGTACCGATGAGTTATGGAACTTCGTAGCTGTTGGTGTGCTCACGAAGTCCTTCCTGCACGTACCATTCGGCTCTCAACTTCGGGTTGGTTATGGAGCCATTGGACCAGTGCAATTCTAGTTGAGCAGTATAGCTCGCTCCTGTGGGTGTTGAGCTGATGTGATGAATTTCCCTTCGTGATGAAACTCTTGGGGTGGGAAGTGGTCATTGGAATTGATGAACAAAGAATTGAAATTAGTGCGGTATGTGTTCTGTCGCTCCTGACTGCTGTGCTGGACTCTCCCCCTCCCAGGTTGACGACGACGATTGTGTCCTCGGTCGTGGAGCGTGCGGTATTGTGACGAAGGCGGTTCATAAGCAAACAGGTATTGGCCTCTCGACGAAGGAAACTCAGTTCGATTTTAGATGCGTGTTGGATTCTTTTCTGCAGAATTGTGAGTCGAAGTTCACTTTCGCGCGTTTCCTTGTAGACAACCAGTTGGTTCGATGGTCAGGCACGTGGTTGGCAATAAAAGCGGTTCGGGTTGAAGACAAGGAGAAGCGGGCGCAGTTGATGACGGATATTCAGGTGCGATGAGAAATCTTCCCTGTGCGCTGCAAAGATATTCGTTGTTGAGTCAGGCTCTCATATTGGCCCAGAAGTGTGACTTCTTAGTTCAACTGTACGCCGCGTATGTGCATAAAGCTAGTGGACGGGTACGCATGCGCATTCGTATGTGGTTTATCCCGTTGTTCAGGTCCATGTAGCGCTGGAGCTGATGGACCGGGGCTCTCTTGAGGACTTCACGAAGAGGATACCTGCTGGAGTGTGGCCGGAGAGGATGCTCGCGATTGCTATGTGGCAAACTGTTGAGGGCATTAGGTAGTCGATCAGAGCTGATGAGGGATGAGAAGGAGTCGTGTAGGCATCTGCATTGTCATCATGCCCTGCATAGAGATATCAAACCTGGCAACATTTTGATTAATAGTAAGGGCCAGGTGAGTTGGGAGAGCGTGTGACTGTGGGTGGTATATCTGTTGATCCGAGTTCGAATCTATGGTAATGCTTCCTTCTTCGTGAATTAGTCAGAGAACGATAATGTCAGAAGCGTCTAGTGGAAAAATTGTTATCAAACTTGGCCTCTCATGGCACATAACGAAATCCGTTGCTCCAGAGATTACGATAGTCTTTTCAAAGACTCCATGTAGACACACTCGTTCTTCATTGTCATGAGGGAATCTCTATGACTGGCGTTTTCAGGGTGGAGTCAATAAGGTGGTGGGTTATTGTGTGTTAGGTGAAGTTGACGGATTTTGGTATAGCGAAGAACCTTAATACTACTGTTGGTCTATGCAGCACCTTCGTGGGTAATAGAGACTCTTTCATCGACAACCCTCCTAAGGTTGAGTATAGGTACAGCAACGTACATGTCGCCAGAACGGGTCATTGGACAGGAGTACACCTATCCAGCGGATATTTGGTGAGTTCGGCTGGGGAGGGCAGCGGGAAGATCTAGTGTTGGGGCACAGTTCAGCGGGTTGATCACTTTACGTATGGATGACTGTGTGATACGACTATTGCTTCGCATGGTGCACCGATTGTACGGGAATAGACATGCTCACCAGGGGAACTCCATAGTTCTCTCAGATAGTGGCGAATTTGTTGTACTGCGTAACTCTAGGCTGTGCTCTTTGATCAGGTCCGTTGGTATGGTAGCGTACGAGTTGGCTACGGGAGAGTACCCCTTTAGTGCTATAAACTCCTTCCCGGCTCTCTTTGACTGGTTGTGCAATAAAGACCCTCCCCGTCTTGACGCCAACAAGTGGGATGAATCCCTTTGTCACTGCGCCACGAAATTACCAGCAGGTTCTCGCCGGAGTTGTGCGAGTTTGTGGCTTTGACGTTGAAGAAGGATCCTAATACTCGTGCTGCTGCAGACGACCTTCTCCATGGGTCGTGGCTGAAACCTATAGCATTCGTAATATCCACTCTCTCCATGCTTTGTTCATGTTGTTTGTCCCCCTCAGAGTGACATTGAGACAAGACGGCTAGAGCTGGCGAGTTGGATGGCATCGATATCAGCGTCGAGCGAGAAGTAGCTTCGTATTGATCCCAATTGCTTTTTCTATTTTTAGTGAACGTATTTTTGTACGTGTTTGTTATGAATGAATATATCTTTTGATGGTGATGGTGGAGTTGCTGCCGCATAAAAGGTCAGGAATTCTAACTTTCACGAAATGTAACTTTTCTGCTCATCATTTTCTTCAACTAAGTTGACTTGTGTTTGCTGGAGTTACGTCGATGTGATATTGCAAAACTATAGTGCGATGGGGGTAATATGAGTATTCTCTCCAAAGGGGATTTTCTCGCAGCGTGCCTCAGTTACTTCAGGACGAAGGGGAACCAAATGCGCAGAGACCTTTATATGATCCCACAATTGTGTAGAACGCATAGAACATAGCTCATAGTGGACATCGCACTTTGGACAGACTTGGATACCAAGTCATTATCAGACGTCATTCTGTGACAGGGTGTATAAGAGGTTGACCCGGTCTCATGAAAGCGACTCTCAGAAGATGCTATTAATGCTCAAGATCAATAACTATGCACAAGATCTTCGCGTGAGTATTAATATCGGCCTGCTATCGGTCATTCATCGAGCCACAGGGAGGGGAGCTTCACCAAGGTATGAAGACATAGAAATCAATTCCAGAATCGATTTTGGGGTTAGGGATGTTTTGTTGAGCATCGTTGCAGGTTATCGGGATGTTGAGTAGAAATGGAGGTCCCGGGTATCGAACCGGAGACCTCGTCTCGTAGGAGATGCAGGCGTCACGCGCCACGATATTATCCACGTGCTAAGCTTGCTGGCAATATTGCTCTGGTCTCTCTGAGTTCCTCCACAAGTTGTTTTTGTTCCTTCCTTCTCTGTAATGCCATTTCGAGCCGCTCGAGACGCCTCCGTCTTTGCGTTGTGGAATCTCATCATTCGCCCGCCGAGACGGGAATATAGTGACAGCTCTCTGGGACCGAGGAAGTTCAAATTGCATGGTAACGGGGGGAGGAGGTTCAGTCGTGATGTGACGGATTTTTGGTATGGAAAAGGTTGCTCGTTAGGTATCACTTGCCAACGAGAAGACTTCACAGTGACTTCTGTGAGGGGTCACAGTTTGAAGTGCTCCCTGTTCGTCCCGAGAGGGTTGAGGGCCGATGACGTGTCCTATCCGTGTGTTATCTACATGCATGGCAACGCTGGGTGTAGGTTGGAAGCCTTACCATTAGTAAGTACCCTTGCTGGGGATCGAACCGGG